TTTTTTTTTGTTTGTTTCTTTTGCAAAATGATTTGGAGTAAAATTCTTCTAAGGAACAAATTCCCCTAGGAAGTTAGCATTTATATGTACAATTTTTCAGGTAATAGATTTGCCAGCTCTTTGTGAATTGGACTTAACAACTCATTCTTCACTACAAGACATTTCCTCTCTGATATTTCAAGGATGTTGAAAGAGGAAGTTGAACAGTGAAAGTAAAAAGAATTCTGTGTTTGTATTAGTTGTTGTGAAGTTAAAGCAGGGGTTGACAAACTATGGCATTTGGGCCAAATCCAGTCCATGACCTGTTTTAGTATATAAAATTTTATTGTTATATAACTACTTTTATTCATTTAAGTACTGTCTATGGATGTTTCTGTGGCATAATAGCAGCATTGAGTAGTAGTGACAGAAGGATGGCACTCAAACCTAAAATATATACCTTCAGGCCATTTAAGAAAAAGTTTGCTGACATTTGAGTTAAAGAGTTAGTTTAAGCCTGCAAATATTTTCTCCCACTCTGAGGGCTGTCTGCATGCTTTACTTACTGTGTTCTTGGCTGTGCAGAAGCTCTTTAGTTTGATCAGGTCCCAATAGTGTATTTTTGATGTTGCTTCAATTACAAGGTACAAGTGAACTTTTCTAGAACTAGAGTATAAATGTTTTAACACAATAACTAAGTAAATGACACAAAGTCTATGTTAACCAGTTTGATGAAAATATTTCAAATTGTATATGAAAACACTACACTGTACCCCATGTTTGCATTAATGTATACAGCTATCATTTAATAACAAAAAAGGGTTAGTTTAAAGCATTTTCTATTAAGAATATTGAATTACAGAACTATTATGTGTGATCTAATGTTACTGTAACAAATTAGGAACTCATTTATATTTATAAACCCCAGAACTAAAATATAAAAATGTATTATTATTACTAATGGCTAACGTAATAATGTGAATTATGCATAAAGATATAAACTTACCTGTGCTTATATATCTGAACAGAATATGTGTATTGGACATATTTTCCCTTACACGTATTCGTTTTCCTTTGTATATAGTTTAGTCCATAGTAAATACATAATTTCTTCTTTTTAGCCTAACATTTCATCATAAGAATTTTTCCATGTCATTTAAAATTTCTTTCATGGGGGTGATGGAAAGGCATTGTTTTGTCCACTGCTGTTTCCTTAGCACATAAAGGAATGCCTGACATGTAGTAGATGTTCAATAGATTTTTGCTAAATGAATGAATAATGGATGCATTTGTATTTTAAAATTATTGTAGGAGGTATAAGTTACTTAAAACTTAATGATCATTGTAAATTTAGCTTATTTCCAATTTTTCACTGCTGTAAATACTACTGCAGTGAGTATTTTTATGAAATGAAGAATGATGAATGTTTTGGGTAAATATCTGTGTAACTAGTAAGGCAGATATTTGTGTTTTGATTATTTCTTTATTTATTCAATTTTGTTTTACTCCTGCAAATCTATCTTTATCCAACGGCATGTTAAAAGCTAACACTATGGGGATGAAATAGTCTAAGTTTGAAGCGTATCTCTGCAACATATAAGCTTTGTAACCTTGGCCAGTGACTTCACCTCTAGTTTTTCTCATCTTGTAAAATGGAGGTTAGATAATTGATGCTAAGTGTTCACAGTGTCTGAATAAGTGTTACTTTTTTCAACATTAGTGTTAATATAAGCTTTGACTTTTTTGCACTTCTTTCTTGAAATAACTGCTACTTTTCTATTAATTGGTGACTTTGAAGATTAGGAAATAAATGACACATAGAATTCCATAAATGCTTTCTTTTTCTCTTAGAAAGGTCTGACTTTGAACAGGTGTCCATTTTTCCCCAAAGACAACCAACAGCTGAGAACTTTCCCATATTATTCTTAATGTTGAACATTGTGTTTTAGCTCCCTCACCACATAAACATCATCAGAAATGTCAACTAGTGCTATACTATGCAGGGAAATGAGGGTGTTTGAGCTGAGCATAATGATTTACAAAGCAAAATAGAAATGACTCCTTCGGTGCTGCCAGGTTTCTGTGGGTATCTGGGCTGGCTGTGACATTTTTGCTTTTTAATATGTGATTTACAATAATTCTTTACTTCAATGACTTATTTGCTTGCAAACTCCAGAAGCTTTGACCATTATTCTGAAGGATGCTGACTCAATGAATTGACTTTTATTAATGGAGACTGAAGAGAGGTTTTGAAAATGCATTGGCCTGCCATGGTCATTGTCCTCATTGAATCTGTCACTTTGAAAGCTGTGATTTATGGTGGTAATGAGAGGAAGAGCCATTTCTCCAACAGCTGTGGCTGAGACTCTTTGGAGGCTTTGAGAAGAAGTCTTGGGGACCCTACTGGGAGGCTATTGTTGCAAAGAGCAGTGGCTTTGGAAGCTGAGACAGCAGAGTATGCCATCCAATTGCAAAAACTACTGGCTCTGAATATACTGTGTTTTCTCGAAAATAAGTCCTACCCCTAAAATAAGCCCTAGTAGGATTTCTATGTGTTTGTTAAATATAAGCCCTACCCTGATAATAAGACCTAGTGATGGGCATGGCTACACAGTGAATCTGCATAGCCATGCCATGCATTGTCAAATTTCTAGGCATAGAGTTTCTGGTAGTATTTAGAGATGATCTCTTGTATCTCTGTGGCATCAGTTATTATTTTCCCTTTATCATTTCTGATTGAGGTTACTAGAGATGTTACTTTTTTATTTCTAGTTAGTCTGGCCAAAGATTTATCTATTTTGTTTATTTTTTCAAAAACCCAACTCCTTGTTTCATTAATTTCCTGAATGATTTTTTTGTTTTCAATTTCATTGATCTCTGATTTAATTTTGGATATTTCTTTTCTTTTGCTGAGTTTATGCTTAGGTTGTTCTTCTTTTTCCAATTCCATAAGATGGCTTTTGAGTTTGTTGGTGCACTCTCTGTCTGTTTTTCGAATGTAGGCAACTAAAGCGATAAATTTTCCTCTCAAAACTGCTTTTGCAGTATCCAATAGGTTTTGGTAGCTTGTGCATTCATTGTTGTTGTGCTCAAGGAGGTTAATGATTTCCTCTTTTATTTCTTCCTGCACCCAACTGTCATTCAACAGAAGGTTGTTTAATTACCATGCCTTTGTGTGGGGTTAAATGTTTTTGTTTGAGTTGAGTTCCACCTTTAGTGCCTTGTGATCTGAGAAGATATAAGATAAAATTTCAATTTTTTTGGTTCTGTTGAGGTTTGTTTTGTGTCCTAGGATATGATCAATTTTGAAGAATGTTCCATGGGGTGATGAGAAGAATGTATATTCTTTATTTTTGGGATGGAGTGCTCTATATGTGTCTATCAAGCACGGTTGCTCTAAGGTCTTATTTAAGTCCCTGATATCTTTGTTTAATTTCTGTTTAGAGGATCTTTCCAACTCTGTAAGAGGAATATTAAAGTCTCTATGTTATTATAGGATATCATATTGTTCAGACTGAGTAAAGTCTGTTTCAAGAATCTGGGAGCATTTAAATTGGATGCATAAATTCTTAGAATTGAAATGTCTTGTTGTATTTTTCCCTTGACCAATATAAAGCGACCATCTTTGTCTTTTTTCACTTTAGTTGCTTCAAATACACATGCATCTGAAAATAAGATTGCAACTTATCTTTTCTTCTGGATTCCATTTGCCTGAAAAATTGTCTTCTATCCCTTAACTTGGAGTTTTAATTTGTCCTTTGAAGTTAGGTGTGTTTCCTGCAGACAGCAAATGGATGGCTTGTGCTTTTTAATCCAGTCAACCAATCTAGGCCTCTTCAGTGGGGAATTCAAGTCATTGACATTTATTGAGATAATTCATAAGTGTGGTACTGTTCTATTCATCTTATTTTGTGAAAGTCCATTGCTTAGTTTTATCTTTTGCATCATGGTGGAAGTTATGTTCTGTCCTTTAATTTCTGAGTTCTTACTTTGCTGTTGATCCATTGTGATGGTCAATGTGTAGAATGGGTTGAAGTATTTCCTGTAGAGCTGGTCTTGTTGAGGTGAATTTCATCAATGTTATCAATGTTTGTATATAAGTAAGTGATTTGATTTCTCCATCAATTTTAAATCTTAGCTTAGCAGGATATAGCATTCTGGGCTGGAAATTGTACTGTGTAAGTAGATTAAGGGTAGATGACCATTGTCTTTTGGCTTGAAAAGTTTCATTAGAGAAGTCTGCAGTTACCCTGATGGATTTGCCACTGTAGGTCAATGGACACTTACTTCTGAGCTTGCAGAATCTTTTGTCTTGACTTTGGACAGGTT